AGGGGTTTGAGTTTGCTAAGAATTACTGATAAAAACGGAAGATAAAAGAGCAGAAATAACAGCAGCAGTAAAAAGATCAGAATGCAGTGTTTGTTTCATTCCGTGTTGGAGGGTAGTGGATAACCGCCCTTTGACTAGCAGAATTCTACAGATTATGCTGGTATCTTCGCTCTCAGGGACCTGCATGCTAGTACGATTGTCTCATCAACACAAAACAAATTTGCACAGAAGGCCCATTGCTCCCTTGATCCCTTCAGGACACGAGCTCAACGATTTCTGTCAGAAGAATCCAAAGCTATTTGATGGCATCTGCTTAGAGAGCATATGATAAACTGATTTAAAACTACTGTATTTAGGAACAAACATAATTCTTTAGGTACTATTGTCTGACAAAGCAAAGCTGAAGATATTTGCCCATGGCACAGGTGTTTTTTTAAAAAAAACTTTCCACTACATCATCTTTAAAATCAAGAGATATATGTTGAATTGGATTCCAAAGTGCCTTGAAACTCAACTCCCCTGGGAAAGAGCTTGACCAAATGTTTTATGAATGAGCAGAGAGGCATTTTATTCTGACTAAGTATTTCAAAGGAAAGAATAAAAGGTTCCAAATCACATCAATTGGATACTCAGAATGGTCTAGATTCATTTTTTTTACTATTTCACATTTTTAATCAGTAAGTTTAAAGTCCACAAGAATGAACAGCAGATGTATGCTAGCATTATAATAATCCTTGCATTTTAGATAGTGATTTATCAAGTTGTCGAGACATCTCAAAGCGCTTCCCAGGACCCACTTTCAAATGTAGTGACTGTGTGTATTTTATGGGCGAATGCGGCAGCCAACTTGTGCAGAGCAGTGTCCCAAAACAGCAATTTACTGAGTGACCAATTTTATCCTGGGAGATTGTCTGCCAGGACAGCGGGAAAAACTCCCTTTTCTTTTCAAATTATGCCATTGAATCTGTAAAGTTCACTTGAACAGACAAGACGGGACCTTGGTTTAATGTCTAATCTGAAGAATGGCATTTCCAACAATGTGGTATATTCCCAGCACAATATTGGAGTGTCAACATAGACTATATGAGTTCTAAGTCCCAACGTGGAGCTTAAACCACAATTTTTTGACTCCGAGACGAGGGTGCTACCAACTGAGCCAGACTGACACAAGGTAGAATTGCTTTTGTCTGCCAAGATCAATTGTTACCAGACAAACATCAAACATAATGAACCACATAGATTTTGGGTGTGTTCAGTTGTGATTATGCAAAGATCATGAGCATTTTAACAAAAAGGTCAATGTCAGGGACATTTACAATGTTAAATCATCCTATTGTAAAGCTGATATGAGAATGCTGAGGCCAGGAACAGCACGACGTTGTTCAGCCCATTGAGCCTGTATACACCACTTCAATTTTTCTTCCAATGTAAAAGCTGATTGTTAAAAGTTAATAGACTAACCTTGAATCCTCTGCTGCCAAATGTTCTCTACTTAAAACTGCCTTTTTCCTTTAGGCCACTTGAAACAAGGGAGATTAAGGAATTGCAACACATATTGTAGAGAATAGTTACACATGGCAAGGGCGCTAATGTGCCCCCAAAGCATTTTTAAGGGGGGGTGGGTAGTATCCATCATTTAAAACACACACAAGCCGCATTGCTGGGACGTTGAGATCCTGCCCGGGTTCAGTTAGTCTGACCCAATTAACAATGTGTAACCTGGTCTTTGTAAACATAGTCAGGACCTTTGACTTACAATCGGAATGCGTGATCTTATCATGCAGTCAGTGCACTAGCAAAGTAACCTTGCTTCTATTTAAACAGCAAGATTTATAAAGCTGCAGGAATAAACTAACTGATAGGAACACAGAAAAACAGGATCAAGAGGAGGATATTCAGCCTGTTCCAGCAGTTAATTAGATCTTGATGGATGTTTCCATCCCGATGCCCTGCCCTTTCCCCACACCCCTTATTCCCTCTACTTTGCAACACTCTGCCTGTTTTTCTCTTTCAAACGACCCCCACTGATTCCGGAAATGGCAAGGACAAACATTCCACTGACTCCTCCAATTAAAAGAATCTAATTCAGGAATATTTACAGCACAGATTGCTTGTAAAGACCAAGGGAAAGAGAGAGCACCACCCAGTATTAACATTTACGATTCTTTTAAAATAATAATAATCCTTGCATTTGATATAGCGCTTTTCACATCTTCTAAATGTCTCAAAGCACTTCACAGAATATACTGTATAGTGAATTGACTGTATATTTATGGAGGAAATGCAGCAGCCAATTGCGCACAACAGTGTCCCATAAACAGTCGTGGAATGAGTGACCAAATTATTATTTTTTTTATTTATTTTCTTGAGGGATTATTATCAGACATGTGGGGTAAGGAAACTTGCCCAAGGTTTCGCCTTGCTAGGAATTGAACCAGGTCTCTCATTTGTGAGGCGAGTGCTGAAACCACTGAGCTACAGGACTCTTTTTGAGAAACTGCGTATAGGCCTCAAAACAGCCCCTCAAAAATCTCGCCATATTAGGTTTAAGAAGTCCATAAAATTATTAGCGGAGGGAACGTGTTGGCATTTTAATTTTTAAAAGTGGAGTTTTTAACCCCCCCACTGTGTTTATGTTGTCCTGGCCAACAACACTCCAGGATAAAGTTGTGGGACATTGCTGTGTGCAAACTGACTTCTGTGTTTGCCTACAATTACAAACATGCTTTACAGTAAAAAAAATCCTAGAAGCGCTTTGACGACATGATAAGGTGGTGTATCAAACGGGAGCATTGGCCTTTTTACCTCCCTTAGTATTTTTCGTGCCTTTAATTTTGGCGACTTTCGGAAATTGTAAAGTTACCTCACTTTCTTTTGATTTATTGCTCTGTTCCTCAGGGCACATAGGCAGCTGTTTACATCATGCTCAAATGAGATCTCAGTAGTCAAACAATGTGAGCCCATTATTCTGATACTCAGATCAGATGTGGGAATGAAATCCCTTTCCCCTCATGTTTGTGGAAATATCTCAAAATCAAACAGGAAGAATACGGTATTAAAGTCAAAAAGGACAGAATTTTTAAACTCTGCATCAACACAAATATTCTCTGACTGCTAACTAAAGCCACGATTTAAGTGCACAGAGCGATTTTAAACATTTCTGGCAAAGTAAAAAAAATGTGGCGTTACGTTAGTAATTTTGCATGTACAAATAGAAAGTTTCCAACAGAACTAATTTCTTGAAACTGATGCAACAACTTGTGACAAAAAGGCCCTTAACCATTTTGTTTGAAATGTGCAACCTAACCACTGAAATGCTGGGGTTTCTGCCTTAGCAACCTTGTTACCAAGTGTGGTGAGTTAAGTGGGAGATACACACAGCTCTTGTTTATTTGCAATGTCTGTTGGCCAGGAGATATATAGACACAGATTACGCCCGCCTACAAATACACAATCACTACACCTCGCAGTAAAATCCAGGGAAGCACTCTGAGATGTCTCAATGATGTTGATAAGGAGCTATATTAAATGCAAGAATGATGATATATCTGTGGCAATTGCTAGAGGGGATTTTGTTCTTATAATGAGAAATTTCCTCTACTTAAGTCTTAGTGATGAATCACTGGATTTCTAGCTTCCCTTTCTGTTGCAGCTTTGGAAGAGCTAAAAATAATAATCCTTACATGTGACACTTGGTGTCTTTGACGTTAAGAGGATGTCTTCATTTTACTGTGAAGTAAGTGACTGTGTAGTTTGTAGGTGAACGCAGCAACCAATTTGCACACAGCAATGTCCCACAAATAGCCATGACCAATTTTATCTGGGGGATTGTCAGCCAGGACACCTTTCTTCTCTTTTCGAAAGATCTTTGTAACCGGCTATGTAAAACATATAATAATAATAATAATAATAATAATAATCCTTGCATTTGATATAGCGCTTTTCACGTCAGGAGGACGTCCCAAAGCGCTTCACAGAACACACTGTAAAGTGAATTGACTATATTTGTGGGCGAACGCGGCAGCCAATTGCGCACAGCAATGTCCCACAAACAGTCGTAGAGTGAAAATGACCAATTTAATAATTGTTTTTGGTTTTTGTTTTTTGGAGGGATTATAATTAGGCGTGTGGAGTAAGGAAACTTGCCCAAGGTTTCGCCCTGCCTGGAATTGAACTCAGGTCTCTCACTTGCAAAGCGAGTGCTCTAACCACTGAGCTACAGGACTCCACTCCTCAACATGGGGCAGAAATCACACATCTTTCTTTGTGCATTTGCTACATCTTCTTGAATGAATGCTCCCCTCCCCATTTCCACAAGCCATAATCAAATCCAATCGGATATGCTAGTCTCCAGGAATAAAATGTCGGAATGGTATTTTTCAAATTATTTCAGGGTAAGGACCTGCAAGAACACTGATCAGTGGGAGTGAGGGTTTGCTAACAACCAGAATGTCCAACTTAAGTTGGCAACCACTGGAGGTCAAAGCAGATAGGAACTCCCCTCAAATGTCATCAAAAGCTACACTTGCATATTATAACAACAGTTATATCTTTATAATAAGATGTTATTGACTGGGGGTCCCGGAGTGTGTGTTGGGGGGCTCTGGAATGTGTGTTGGGGTCACTGATGCAGATTAACCATTACTCAGGTTCTCACGGGTGAGCCTGAATTTATTACACTTTTTTTAATGAGTTAATATAATAATAATCCTTGCATTTGATATAGCGCTTTATCATGTCGTTGAGGGGTCTCAAAAGCGCTTTACAGAATATGCTGTAAAGGGGACTGACTGTATTTTGTGGGCGAAAATGTATTTAGTTCAGATCATCTCCAGGTACAAGTGAGAAGATGAAGATGCTGATCTGTGCTGGAGCAGTTACATGGAACTGGACACCCTCATATAGCTGCCACCAGCCATTCACAGTAGCCTGCAGTGAGCGCTAGAGGCTAACCCTGGCACTTGTTGAATGAGAAGATAAAGAGAGACGAAACTGCTAACCTGTTTCGTTTCATCACTTGCTATCCCATGTGCTAGGTGTGCACTGAAAGTGCTCTTTCCGACCCCTCCTTTTCCAGATAAAACAAGGATTTTATGTTTTACAGATGCCATCTTCTCTTTAATCTCCTGAATAGCTGGAGCGTAAAACAAAATGCAAAGACTGAGAATTCACTACAGTAGATTGACTGTGTATTTTGCTGATGAAACGCAGCAGCCAATCGCGCAAAGCTGTATCCCACAAACAGTTGTAGATTGAGTGACTCAAATTGTTTTTGTTTGAGGGATTATTACCCCTGGAAAACGATCCGCCAATCGACTGACAACCAGATTCTTACAACAACTTTCATTCATATACCACCCCTCACGCAGGATAGAGTCCCAGAGGCGTGTGGAGTAAGGAAACTTGCCTGAGGTTTCGCCCTGCCTTGGTATCGAACCCTGGATCCTCTCGCTTGGGAGGCGGGCGTGCTAACCAATACGCTATGGGATTCCACAGTTTCTGATGAGTTCCTCTTGAGAACGTACCTGGATCCGGAGCCTTTGCGATACCCGAGGCACATATTGCTTGATTCGGGCAGCCCTGACATGCGGAAGCTTTTCCGGCCTGTTCGCTCACTGTTCCCGGGCAATCTGAAATTGAACGCAAAGGGAAATCTCACTCACTCGTTGACCTCAATCAAACATTGCTCATGGTCACCAAATCACCACTTCCTGAGAAACCACCAACGGCTGAATCATCCACAGAACCACAGCATCCCAGCTGACATTTGGGTAGCAGACAGCAGGGCTCTCACTCTGCTGTTACCCACACAAAGCCTCAGAGAAAGTTTGTCTGGGGAAATTTCCAGTTTTATTCACCGTTGTGGCCATACTGTGGAACATATGGAGTTTTAGAAGGACCAAGATATCTGAGGCTTGAAATCTGTGGGATTATTTCCCAATGTGAAAGGCGCTATACAAATGTAATCTTGTTGTTGTTGTTGTTATATTTAATACCAGAGCGTTAGTGGCAATATTTTACTGTTTTCAGATCAGCAGATGATACTTCTTGTCCCGCAGTGAATTTGATTTAAGACTTGGACAGATTTACAGGCTCCAGGTTTTGTTTCATCTTTTTTCCAAGCTTCAACTCTTTCCCCATCACTTTAGATGCTGGATCACGTTGGGCCCCCTCTGGGTTCCACCCCCTCCAAATCCTGACTCATTGGCCAAACATCATAACTCATTCTACACAATGAGCAACAGAAGGCTATTAATAATAATGCCCACATTTAATAATGCACCTACAATAACAAACTTCTCGAAACACTTCACAGGGAATCGCTGTAAAGTGTCTCTGTATTTTGCAGACAAATACAGCATCCACTCTTATGCACAAACTCTTAAGGGTTACGGGTTTCCGCATGTGTCAGATACCCGACTGACCAAAAAAAAATCAGAGGAGTGTCTACCAGCAAAGCAGGAGTAGGTTTCCCGAGTTGTTGTCAAGTTGGTGTCAATAAAGCTTAACAAATGCAACATTTGTCAATTTTTCCCCTCTTTTTGGTCAGCCGGGTGTCTGACACATGCGGAAACCCATCAACTTGCTTAAGAGGGGCAGACCAGTCACTGGGGTCAGGGAATCATCCCACACATCTCCCGTTATCCCGGCAAACCCAAAGCCCTAAGACCTCGGGTGGTCCTTCCTGGACAAGCAGCGGGAACGTTTGCCAGGCAGTGCTCTCAATGGCAAGCTGTGTGGGTTTAGCTGGTTAGACTCCAGCAGAGCCCCGAGGCTCTGGAACTCTATCCCCCAGTGCCTTCGCCGCTTCCTCCCTTCCTCCTTCAAGGCCGGACCTTTCTCTTTGACCGAGCCTTCAGCTCCCCTCTCGACTCTCTTCCCCTTCTCGCTCCCTCCCATCCCACCCCCACCTGACCATTTCCCCCCTCCGTCCTCCCTTTCCCCCCCACCTGACCATTTCCCCCCCCTCGCTCCCTCCCTTTCCCTCCCCTCACCCTGACCATTCCCCTCCCTCGCCCCTCCCTTCCCTCCCCTCACCCTGACATTTCCCCCTCCTCGCTCCCTCCTTCCCCCCACCCTGACCATTTCCCCCCTCCTCGCTCCCTCCCTTCCTCCCCCCACCCCTGACCATTTCCCCCCTCCTCGCTCCCTCCCCCCACCCTGACCATTCCCCTCCTCGCTCCCTCCCTTCCCTCCCCTCACCCTGACCATTTCCCCCTTGCTCGGTCATGACCCAACTGTGCAGCGCCTTGGGACGTCCTCCTGACGTGAAAGGCGCTTTATAAATGGAATCTTGTTGTTGTTGTTGTTGTTACCCCCAACGCATTCTCTGAGGCCCCCAATCCTTGGTTCTTGCCAACCTGCGCCTAACAGTGGAGTCCCATGAGCTAGCTGTTAGAGCCTCGCATGTAAGTGAGAGAACCGAGTTCAATTCCCGGGCGAGGCGAAACCTTAGGCAAGTTTCACTACCCTACAGCTCTGTTTACCTAGCAAGGTAAATTGTAGTCGATGGACGCTTCCGGAGTAAAACTCCCGACTAAAAATTGGTCATTAATTCACGATGTTTGTGGGACATGCTGTGCAAGTTGGCTGCCGCGTTCGCCCACAAAATATACAGTCAATTCACTTTACAGTATTTCTCTGTGAAGCGCTTTGGGACGTCCTCGAGTGAAAGCGCTATATCAAATGCAAGGATTATTATTATCTATTATTAAACTGTCCGATACAGGAGGTCCCAGGGAGATGCGATTCCCCAGCCTCTGGATTCTGCGAGTGTGCTACGGCCTGGTTTGGGTACCGTTGC